AGGAGCGGGGGAGGCGGGGCTCCGCGTCCAGGCTAGGTTGCGCCGAAGTACAGCTTCAAGTGAAGTTAATCTGGGGTGAAGCAAACAGAAAATTGAGGAGATTTTGTTGGTAGGAATTTTCCGGTTCTAATCGCGTCGTGTGGCGTTATTTCACCCTGCGGGGCAGTGGAGTTCATGTGCGTGGGGCTTTTCTTCATTGTTCCGTTTCCTAATGGTGGCAGAATATTCACGTTTATGCAGGGAAGCAGAACAAAAGGGCTCTTCAGGCAGGAAATAAGGTGTTGAGAGGCTCAAACTTGACCGAGTTTCTTTTGTCATCTGGCGGCTTGCACCGGGTGCTTTCGCTTGAGAGGATCGAGTCGTTCCACCTTATTTTACGGAGAAATGTTAATTCTGAAATAGCGAGGATAATGCTGCTGGTTTGGAGTTACACAATGTTACAGGAAGAGAGCTCGATTTTAACTCTAACTTCTCTGATTCTGCTGAGGTTTGAGCTAACTAATTATGACAGCTGCTATGGGATTATTCAGTGATAGCATTTGCTCTAAGTCGTTTGTCTTAAATTGTCTTTTGTTATGTCACTGAAGACTGCTGTGCTGTTGTCTGTATATTCTTGATGAGACGAATGTCTCACAGGGCTCTGGTGTTTAGAACAAAGATATGTAAAAATTATGTAAAACACTGCAATTTTTCTATTTTTTTAAAATCAGTTTTGCAGAGTGTCTGTGTCTGTCAGAGCTCTGATTACAAACAGAGGGGAATTAAGCGTTATTGCCCTGTGTTGCAGCTACTACCCTTCCTGCCAGAAAGAAAAAAAAAAAAAGGGGGGGGGGAGGATTTTTTCTTTGGAATTGGTCAGAATGTCTTTTGCATCCTGTATTCCCCAATGATAGCAGGCGTATTCTTTGAGGGAAGATTATTTTCAGCTTCTGTACCAGGTTTATCATATATGGTATTTTTAGTGACACTTTCTGCATCTGAAATTTTTTCAGGAACAGGAAAAGTAGGATTTACCATGGGTGGCATGGGATAGGGTGAGAGGGAGGAGAGCAGGAAGTGGTGAGTCAGGAAGCAGGGGGTTTCTAATGAGAATGAAGACTTTCTTTTCATTGCCATCCTTTCTATACCTTTGACAAGCGTGTTAGATGAGGCCACATACAGAACAATGCTTTCAAAACGGTGAATATATTTTCTTACTTTTCTAAATATTTCCTGTTTTTTTTTTTTTTTTTAAAAACACTTGTGACTGTATGCAGCAGCTCCTGGGAATTGGAAAGAAACACTCACAGCCCTAATACTTGTTGAGTCTAATGAGTTTGATGGGAGATTAGTCAAGATGATAGAAGAATGGATGTGAAAATTGAGCAACAATCTTCCAAATGACAGTGGAAAGCGATTGCTTAGACCTTTACTGAACATAAACAAGTGTGGTTCTTAAAACTGAAACAATGAGGTATATACTTTACATTGAGCCATTTTGTTTTCTCCCCAAATGCTGGATATGGATTACTTTTATATATGTCAGAGTGTCTTGACACACTGGCATCTTGCCATGCTACAGTGGCTTATAGATCTAAATTACTAATTCACTCTTGCTATCTGTTTTTAGCTGTTTATAGCTTTTTAAAAAATATTCTAGAGTGTATTTAAACTCTGAAAATATGCTTTAGAATGAGTAGTGACTATATATGGTCTTTTAGCTGAGAGGTGGGCCAAATCTCATGTGTCAGGGGAGATGTTTAAGACTGGGATATGTAAGTGTTTAAATACTTGGATTTTGATTCATTTCTGAACTTGCAAGTGATGCTAGACCTAGACCGAGTGGCCAGATCAGATGTCTGAGGTGAGGGCATGAAGAATAGTATAGTTTAATGTAATTTCTATAAACTTATATATGATTATGTGTAATAGACTTGCTTAAACAAAAGGAAGCAAACTCAAGTATTTGTGTGCTATTAAATACTATGTTTAGCCAAAAGCTGGTTTTGCTTAGAACAGGAAAAAAGTTGAACACAGGAGGCAACTTGGGTCATAGTGCTTGATGACTGGGTAGCCATTCTTCTCGGGTCCCCTCTGCCCCCTGACTTAGTTAGGAAAGATGTATTATTTGGGAGCAATTTTCCTGTTCTATTCAACACAGAAGTGAAATGCTCAACTCTCTCAGCACATGTATACAGTTCTAATGCAGGCTGTTTGTAGAAAGCAGATCTGCCCTAAAGGATAAACATACCACTTTGCTGGCACAGCTGTACAACTTCTGTATTCAGGCTACAGCAAATGTTTCTTGCTTGCATTCAAAGCCGTCGCTGGCAGGACCCGTGTTGTCCCCACACGACGATTGGTTGTTCCAGCACTACTTGTTCACAAAACCTTCTCCTGCACATGCTCCATCTGTAGATCTTCAACACTGTGAGTGTTTTGTGTGCTGAGGGATTTGTGTGTCTGCTGCTTGTGCCAGGATGGAATCTACGTCTCTGATGAGAATAAGAGATTCTGAAAATGATTGTAGACCTGTGTACGAAACGCAGGGCTGGATTTTATCGCCCCTGTTTGAGGCAAAGGAGATCTGTGCTCTACGGTCCACTGACTGCGTGTGGTATTTCCCAGTGCTGTGAAGGAGGTGATGGGCCCACCATGTGCTGGGATGGTAGCCCCATGCTCTGTTTCTGTTTGATACTACTTAGAGAAGTCTGCGTGCCTCCCATGGGATGATCTTTGTAAAACATGCCCAGAGACATAGTGAGGGCAGTCATCTGTCCTGCAAACAGTGACGTGGGCTTCAGATCCCTGCTTGAGTGCCCTCTGCTACACGCAGGGGTCTTGCCAGCAGAGTGGGCTGTGTGCGCGCTGAAGGCAAAGTCAGCTAGGCTGGCTTAAATTGTTGTAAATTAGTGGCTCCAGCCAACCCAACTGGCTCTTTTCCTCTCCTCTTCTCCTTATTTCCCAAGTGGTTTAGCGATCATTTTTGCTAATTGCTGTGCGCCCAAGGCAGAAGGGAGTAAGGGAGAGGAATAATGTCGCCTTAGAGAGTTTCAGCTATATCCAAAAAGGGCCATCTGCCCATAGTTTGAGGCATGAGGTTAGACCTGTTCACGCGTTTGCTTGCAGTTTCTAGGAAGGACGTGGTGAAGGGGTGAGCTCAGGAGCTGTGGATCGTTTCGGCCGTGCTCTCGTCATGCAGATACGCAAGGACTCCTCACCGAGATAGTTGGCCTCCTGTGGTGTGGAGCTCAGTCTGGGTGGGGCAGATGATCTGGCCAGTGATGTTTACGCTGTAATAAGGTTTTGTGAAAATAAGCAGTTAATTACACATGACCTATAAAGGAATAAAAATAGCTTGGATCTGTTCTTGCTTTAAAAGCCTTTTAACAGAGGCATGAAACGTTTGGGATTTTTAAACCTGCTTATTTTTTTTACCTTTAGAAATATCAGGAACATTAAGTCCTTCTTCCCTGTTCTTGTTGGATGTCTCAGATGTGTCATAAGCTTCTCAGCCCTTAATTGAAGGGGTGGGGTGATATATTTTTAACAGATCCCTTCTTCCAACTGTGTTTATAGGGCTTTTGAGCTAAATAGAGATTAGCAAAAACAAAGCTTTGACAGTGTAAAAATCCTTTTTCCTTGATCAAGTTGTGACTTTTTGCTTGTTTTCCAGTTGTTGACAGAGGTGGTTTTCGTTTGAAAAGTAACTTTTTTAGCTATTAAATTATACATTAAGAGATAAACTGAGTTAAATCCTAACTTGATCCATCTTCTGCTCCATTTAGATCAACTTAAGACAATCTTTTGAGTATTACTTAGACAAGTGAACTCTCACATTTGAGTGTTTCCTAAAAATAGCTCCTTTTTAAGCAGCAGTTTTATTAAAT